ATCAAGGGCAGGGTCAATGCAGCTAGCTATCAGGAGATTTTGGAGCACTTCATGCTTCCATCTGCTGAAAAGCTTTATGGAGATGAAGATTTCATTTTTCAGCACGACCTGGCACCTGCTCACAGTGCCAAAACCACTGGTAAATGGTTTACTGACCATGGTATTACTGTGCTCAATTGGCCTGCCAACTCTCCTGACCTGAACCCCATAGAGAATCTGTGGGATATTGTGAAGAGAAAGTTGAGAGACGCAAGACCCAACACTCTGGATGAGCTTAAGGCCGCTATCGAAGCATCCTGGGCCTCCATAACACCTCAGCAGTGCCACAGGCTGATTGCCTCCATGCCACGCCCCATTGAAGCAGTCATTTCTGCAAAAGGATTCCCGACCAAGAATTGACTATTGAGTGCATAACTGAACAATTATTTGAAGGTTTACTTTTTTTTTTTGTATTAAAAACACTTCTTTTATTGGTCGGATGAAATATGCTAATTTTTTGAGACAGGAATTTTGGGTTTTCATGAGCTGTATGCCAAAATCATCAGTATTAAAACAATAAAAGACCTGAAATATTTCAGTTGGTGTGCAATGAATCTAAAATATATGAAAGTTTAATTTTTATCATTACATTATGGAAAATAATGAACTTTATCACAATGGCCCTCATTTATCAAAAGTGCGTACACCAAATTTCCAGCGTACACCTGGCGTACACCCAAAACCACGGTGACTTTGAGATTTATCAATATGGACGTTGGCGTACGGCACGCTCAAATCCTACGCCAGCTCAGGAGGTGGTGTACATGTACGCACGTTTTGAGTTAGTGCGGAAATGCGCAGAAAAACAATTCCTAACACCACAAAATGCACTGACAAACTAAAAGATATTATATATTATGACCCACTGTAAAACAAAAAAACAACAACATAGTAGTTATAAACTTCAGTGTTTATTTTTGTGCAACATGGACTTCAATGTTTAATTTGTGTGACTTTACCAAAGCATTTGATTTGTAACCATATGTATTCCTTCAGTTGCGAGCCTGTGCGCTTTACCCTGACGTTTCAGGGTTAGGCCCGGCAGGTGCGCACGGACTGGGTTCGGTAACGAAAGGCTTTCATGACCAAAAAATAATTCAGACTGACAAAATAATAAAAAATACATTCTTCTTCTTTTAAATAATAATAATAATACAAATAATAATAATGACATTCTTCTTTTAAATAACAATAAGCGTCATTAATAATACAAATCATACTAATAATAATAAGAATATTCCAAATTGTCATGCAATTATTAATGTGAATGAATGGTACTCCACATCACATCATCATCATCACTATTGTACACCCCAATACATGTAACGTGATTCGAAATTGAATGCTAATTCAAAAGACGTGCTGTAAAATATTGCATTGTGATAGGTCATTTCGGCTCCACGTCAGAGAAGTTTCTCTTCTTTGCCGTCTTCCGTGTGTCCATGGCGTAAAATGAGGGCGTGTGGGAAGCGGAGACTTGAATATATAGGGGCGTGTTATTCTAATGACGATCGTTTTCAGCCGCGGGATTTATCAAGGGCAGGTATTGCGTACACCTGGATTTCAAAGGTACGCACAGCTTCATAAATCAGGCGGTGAGAGGAGTGTAAGCATAATCTTTCGCCAACATATACGCCCGTTTCTACGCAAGAATGATAAATGAGGGCCACTATGCTAATTTTTTGAGAAGGACCTGTATATATAGACTACCGTTCAAAAGTTTGGGGTCGGTACGATTTTAAATACTTTTAAAAGAATTCTCTTCTGCTAACCATGGCTGCGCTTATTTGATTAAAAATACAACAAAAATCAGTTATAGTATTAAATATTATTCCAGTGTAAATCAGCTGTTTTCTGTGTGAATATATAGTAAAGTGTAATTTATTCCTGTGATCAAAGCTGAATTTTCAGCATCACCAGTGTCAGTGTCTTCAGTGTCAAATGATCCTTCACAAATCAGTATAATATGAGGATTTGATGCTCAAGAAACATTTATTATTATTATCAATGTTGAAACAGTTGTTGGTCTGTCAGTTGTACAGTTTTTGTTTTTTTTAGGATTCTTTGATGAATAGGAAGTTCAAAAGACTTTTGTAACATTATAAATGTCTTTACTGTCACTTTCGATCAAATTAATTATTCCTTGATAAATAAAAGTATTGATTTCTTTCCTCCAAAAAATAAAATTCTCACTGACCCCAAACTTTTGAACGGTAGTATATATATATATATATATATATATATATATATATGTATGTATGTATGTATGTATGTATGTATGTATGCATGTATGCATGTATGTGTGTGTGTGTGTGTGTATATACATACACACATTTATTTTTATTTGAATTATCAATTCATAAAATCATTTGACTGAATTATAAATAATTATAATTCATATATAATATAAAATATATAATAATGGACAATTTTGTCTACATTTTTTCTCACTATGAACTGCTTTAATTTGGAGCTAGAGATACAGTGGGAGTGGCTTTAATGCATCAGATACTATATGTCGCTTTGCTGTAGCTGATTGGTCCAGGTTTGGTTTGTGATCTCTAAACCCTCCGGAGCAGGTTAGCCATGTAGCGCAAGTTATCATGGCAGTGAACAGGTAAAAACTTATTGAGCCCGAAAAAACGGAGTTTACTCAAACTTACCTTTGTAGGAACTGAAACCAGCTTCGTGCAACAGGCCTAAGAACTGTTAACCGCTCTTTTGTTTTTAGTGCTAGTTAGTGGAATGCACAGCAACATCAAACCACAATTAGTTCTGGTAATGAGATGAATGATCAGCTAATTAGTGAAGACCCACACAATGCCAACATGATTCTTGAAATCGAAGGATTAGGCAAAGCAATAATGCTTCCAAACAAACTCCATCAGAGTTGAACGTGAGTTTAGGAAAAACTAAGCACATCTTCTAAATTCTAAATTAATAAGCCTATTTATTCGCAATCAAGACATAATTGCATTTCATGAGCAAAACAAAGTGGTTAGGACCAGTTGGATGTACATAAGCACAAATATTAGAGCACCACTGCAGACACACTGTATACGAAACACTCTCTAAAACTCTGACCTCTGGTTTGATCTCTGTGGTGGCACTGCAGCTAGCCGTGAGGCATCTGAAAAGGTGAGCCATGACTTCCTAGCATTTGGGGTCACCATAGTGGCCACCCTGGGGCCCGAGGGCTTTGAAGGGATTGCAAAGTTCACGGGGGCCATAGAGGTTACAGAGCGAAATCTGCGACTCGCTAGGTCATCCTGGACAAGGTCTGGCTCAGGGTGGTCCGTGTCAGAGTCACTGTCACTCTGGTAACTGCTTGCCCATTGGAGGAAGGCAGAAGCAGGTGGGAGGTTGTGGCATAAGCCCCGCCCACTTTCGCTACAGCCAAAACATGAGGTGGAGAGACTAAGAAAACCACCTCGAATTACACGGAGAAAAGGTGTGCTAGACAAAACCTTTTACAGTTAACTGAGAGAAGAATTTTATATGCACATTTTTTAATTATTATAGCAAGAGTATATACATGTTTAATGGAAAGAAATTTGAAATTCAGGCCATTTTAAAGGTGCAGTAAGCATTATTGAAAATTGAAGTCAAGACCCAAACAATTGTGTGATTAAAAAAAAAAAGGAAAAATATTCAAGGGGTCATATAATGGTACATGCACTTTTACAAGTTGATTGTACTGAAATGTGTGTTGGCAGTGCCTGTACACAACCATCATAAAATGATTAAAACAAAAACACTGGATGGATTTTTATCTCCTTATATGTTTTCCCGTCTCAAGTCAAGCCGTTCGACCTTGTGACGTCACACGCTCGGAAGCCCCTCCCACGATTGTTGATTGACAACTCGTGAGCGAGCTGTCAATCATAGTCTGCGCGGACCGGCACGGTCATTGTTGATATGCTGGAGCACTGTCTATGAGCAGAATGGCGTCTAAGCGATTGTGGTGTTCTGTTCTTGGGTGTAATAACGAACACAGCAGTCATTTTAATGTTCCTAAATCCGAACCGCTGAAGACGCAGTGGCTGAGTTTGTTTTCGAAGGTAATATTCCCCACGAGCAACGTCAATGCTCTCATGTTTGCGCGAATCATTTCTCACCAGACTGCTTATAAACGAGGATCAGTATAAAGCTGGTTTTGCTAAGAAACTGCTCATGAAAAAAGGATCTGTACCAGCTATTCGTGTTCCTGCTGAACCTCTAGAACAACTGAAGTGAGTAACGTTTTATTAAACTTTATATTAATATTTATATTAATCTTTGCAAATCGCTAGCTGCACGCTTCACAATGAATGCGTCTAGGTTTACACTTAGGGTACATTATGGCATGTTTTCTATGTATGATGTTCTCAATATAATTCATAATCCCACATTTATACTGAACAACGCGTTATGGTTATTGTGTTATTGTGTTACAAACGGTGTACGCACAGAACAGAGGGGCAGGGTGAGCAAAGCTCATTATAATTTAAAATCATATGCACTGAAACGGCGTGCTGAAAACAGAGCTGTTTTTGACCAAGTAAAATAAGTGTTTTCTTACAATACTAATGAGAATTTGTAATTAAAGTATATTACAAACTTTTAATTTAGACCCTAAAGAATCATACTAGCTTGTACAAAAATGGCATTATATGACCCCTTTAAAGTATTTTAAATGATATTCAATGTTCTGATGATTAAATTAAAATTAATAGGAATGTATTACAGTTTTTTACTATTAGCAAAAAATAAATAAATTCATTGTTAAATTATGCAAGATATTTAAGATTCTTTACAGCCTTTTTGGAAATTTAGATGAGTGAATTTAGAACATTTTTAAACTTAAGAACCCACTGACACCCTGCTGAATATCTGTTATAAGCTTAGCAAAATTTGTCATTCAACATTTTTATGCGGAGTCAGTTTCTGAAGCGAAAGTGAGCCAGAATAGAGTTTCATACCTGGTGAGGTGGCCTGCATAACTCCTGTCTCCCTGCTGGTATTCCTGTCTTTTCTTCCTCAGGGCAGATGGGACATGCACCCTTCCTCTGATGGGGGCATCACTTTTACTGCCTTCCGCCATCCTGAAGCAATGTTCAGCTTCTGCGTCACTAAAGCAACCTGGGTGAAGACCAGAGCAAAAAAGAAAAAGGATTCCATTGGGCGTAGTTAGGCTTGTGTTCAAACCAGACGGTCAAAATCAGGGTAGAACATTTAGAAATAAATGGCCATTTATGACTGCTTTTAATATAAGAATCTTACATTATAAGTGGACCTCAGAGAACTTTACATTTTAACTTTTAAGTATTTAACTTTCCAAATGTTTACTTATGCTTGTTTATTGTCCTTTATTTTATTTGTTTACTTATTTGAGAAATATTTGCAGGCTATGATGCCACCATCTTAAATTTAATGTGTTATTATTAAACATGTTTTAAATAAAAGTGTGTTAAATAGCATATTAGCTTTTCTGTGGTACCGATATTAATATCAATTGTGAAATTATGCATTGTGAAATTTCACGGCTATTGCGATCAACTGACATTATCATCATGACAGCGCTAGAGCACCAAACAGCCTTCCGTGCAGTAATGCAGTCTCTCAGGCACAAGCCTGCCTTCATTTGGCAGCAGCTCTGTGCATTACCAAATGGGTGTGGAACGTTTGGGAATGTCACACTTACGTGAATGGATGGGGCGAAGGGACAAGGTCTAGGCACTGAACTTTCATTACCAAGTGTTTGAGAGATGCAATATCGAAGTCACAAAGTAAACAAGACACTGTGATTTTCGTGATAAAATTTGGAAATATTTAAGCATCTGTATGGACCATCATGCCCTGAAGTAAATGTTTGATGATTTTGCTCATTTGAGATTAAGAAACCATGGCTACATTTGCATGCAACCTAATAATCTGTTAATAATCGGATCGATTGCTCAGACGGACTGAAAAGCCTTCATGTAAATACCTCAATCAATCCAACTGAGCTTGATCCGAATGGAATTCCCATCAGATTAAAACTGGTTGTGTAGATCTTGTGTAAATGTGTAGAAAATGTGTTAAATATGAAAATATGTAAACCTCTGACTCCAACTACTCTCTCAAATTCAGTGTCATGGTGTACGTTAATCTCATGTGAATATTCACTTTTTTTTTTCTTATGAAACGGTCAATGGAAGAGACTAAATTTGTGCAAAAAATTGCTAAAAGGGATGTCTGATTTTTTTTTTTGATATCGCAGTTAGTTCCAGTGAAATTCTCATGCGTTCCCTGTTTTTGACTGATGGACTACATATGCACAGAAATTGAGTTTGAAATGGATGTAATGGCTACAAACAACCATTTTAAATTAGAGCGCAAAGTTTAGGGTGCGCAAACTACCGTTCAAAAGTTGTGGGTTGATATGATTTTTAAATGTTTTTAAAAAGAAGTCTTTTATGCTTACCAAATCTGCATTTATTTGATCAAAATACATACAAAAATAAACAGTAAAAAAAGTTAAATATTATTATCTAAAATAACGGTTTTCTATTTTAACACATTTAACAATGTAATTTATTCCTGTGATAGCAAAGCTGAATTTTCCGCATCATTACTCAAGTCTTCAGTGTCACATGATCCTTCAGAAATCATTCTAATATGCTGATTTGATAAGAAATGTTTCTTGAGCGTCAATGTTGAAAGCAGTTGTACTTAATCGTTTTTGTGGAAACTGTTCAAAGTTTTATTTCAGGATTCTTTGAATAGAAAGTTGTTGTTTTTTTAAATATTTTTTTTTAACAATGTAAAAGTATTTACTGTTACATTTAATCAATTGAATTAATCTTTGCTGAATAAAATAAATCTAGTGTTTTTTAAATCTAGTGCATGAACTTTACTTCCAGTCCCTGAAACGTGATTGGATTCATTTGGAATTAAACATACAAGTTCTGCAAAGTTCTCACTGTGATGACCAGATTAAAAAGAGCACACTAGTACAATACAAAGGAATAATAATTAAATATCCGTAAAGATTTCATTATTTACATATCCACAATAAAGTTTCTCTCCAAAAAAACAATTGTAATTGGTTTCAAAAGGAATGATTAATTTAACAGACAGACGCATACTGCCCAGTCTTACCTTCACTGCCGGCTCTGATGGTGCCGTCTGAAGCCACACTGAGTGGGCGAAACTCCACTGAGTCCAGGCTCTCGACTGAGTCCTCCCTCCTGTAGCCTGACTGCTTCAGACTTAACAGATCCTCCCTGTCAGAAAACCAGCCCTCCACGTACCCACTGTCCCTCACACTGGACTTGGACTGCACAGACTCCTCCAGAGCCTGGTAGAAGGTGAACAAAGATCAGAAAACTTCAGAGTGGGGTGGAAAGGCAAATAAGTGAGTTTTAGTGAACAGACTTGAGCTCCAGTGGACTTTTACAGTAGTTTTTCCGTTTCGCTGACTGAAGAAATTACCTACACACTGAGCAATATGTCAGTCAGTGCGCTGATAATTATTATGCGAGGACCGACAACACAGACTTACGCCTGAGTGAATCATTTTATCAGCGGCCAAAATGCATGGGGAGTTCTGGACCTGCATGACGTCCTTAGTGAGAACACAAAACGCATGAGTAACGTAATGAATCTGAGGGGCTTATTTGACTTATGGATTTGTTACAATGCATAAACACTTGATCGGATGAGATTCAATGCAAACACTTGATATAGTCGAAATTGTAAAAACTATGTGAAATGTTTTAATTAAACAAGAGGCATTTTAAGCTCTTTACAAATCAAATTGACAATTTATCGTTTGCACAACTACTCTCAGACTTACTGTACATCCTTGTTTATTTTATAAATATGTTGTATAATAATTAGGGCTGTCAATTTAGCGTGAAAATTACCTATAAAGCCAGAGCAGAACTGTTGTGCGTCTCCGTCAAAGACACAGCGGTATTTTTTTGAATCAGCGTTTTCGAATCAATTGGGTGAACCAATGATTCAATGGCCTATTCATAAAGATGGCCATTAGATGTGTATTACTTAGAGCAGCGCTGCGCAGACTGATCAAAGTACAGCGAGAGCAGACGGCTCTGTGTGCTTTCGAATCGCTCTCTACTCTGATGTCATACACCGATCGATCCGCCCAACGCTGCTTCAAGCCGAACACACCTATTTACTACATTCCTGAATGAATCAGCCATTTGAACGAATGACTCAATTTACTGTACACATTTTCTGCCAAATACTGGCAATTTTAGTGTCATAAGAAGAGTATCACTTCATTAAAAAAAAAAAAATCATATTTTGGGGATAGTTTACCATTCTATTTACATTTACTCTTGTGTCGTTTCAAACCTGTATGAGTTTTTTTTTTTTTTTTTTTTTTTTTTATGGAACATAGAAGAAATAGCATTTCTATATGCTATATATATACAGATACTACCAATACAGATAATAGCTTCTAAAAAAACAATCATGGCCCTTGATAAATCTAATAAATTCTATGTTGGATCAAATAAAATACTTATTTCTAAAACTACTTTTTGTGATGTCTATTTGATGCCCTTTACACAATAATGACTTTAAATGATCTTTTGGGGGTAATTACTCAGCCAAATTTGATGTGATTAATTAATCGGCACACCATGTAATTAATTAGATTAGAAATGTTAATCGGTTCACAGCCATAATAATAATAATAATAATCATATAAAATTAAAATAGTTTATAAATATTTTATATAATTTTATAAATTAAAAATAAAATGAAAACAAAACAAAATAAATAAAAGGCAATAACATAAAATTGACAATGTCTACAGAGCCCCTCAAGGGACATGGTGGTGGAAAAGTAATAAGTCAATGCTTTTGCGTTCACTTGCAAATCCTTTGTTCCCTCGCAAAAAAAAAAAAAACGTTTGCGTTCGCTCTCAAAACTTTTGAATTCTTTGTGCGCGAACACAAAGTTTCTCAGGGAACGCAAACACGTTGACAAATAATTTTTCCTCCCATCTCATATTTATTTCCACCACCATATCCCTTTAGGGGCTCTGTACATTTTTAATTAATAAAATGCAACAACTCAAACTTACAATGCACTTACTTTAAAAGAAAATGAAAAAAGGAACATTAAAAATGCAAAAAAAGTAAACGGAAATACCTTAGATAATGCTATGCCCAGCAAACCTTCAAGGGCTTTTAGGTTCAACTGTGGTCCAGTGTAAAACGGATCAGACTGGGCCTTCCTCCCCAACCAGTATATAGTGATCAAAACCTGTATGTAGAGAGAGTGAGTGAATGAGCACACAAATGAGGACAAAATATTTTAAAACAAAGATGAAAACTAACTTTTTTTAACATTTAAAGATTAGTTTATAGCTTATATCAGTTTCCACAACTTAAGTTTTAACATGATACGAGCCCAAAGCAAAGCATCTGAGAATTTAGTGTTGTGCATGCTTGCGTGTGGCATGAATGGCTTCTGTGTCCCAGTTTCATTTCTGTTCCCATCTAGAAAACCATGACCGTTTGCGCGCACACACACAAACACAGGGTGGCAACAGGGTAGGAATGTGGCACACGTACAAGACAATGAAGACAACAGTGGGCTCTGTAGTGCCTTCTGGACCTCTAAGATCATTAGAACTACTCTAATAAGGAATCAAATACAAATACAAGATCATTTTCAACATTTGAAATATGTCTGTCTGCGCATAATATTACCAATGAAATAAAGATGCAGAGCAGATGGGTACACCCAGTTCCAATATCTTACATGCATTATTGTCATCAGTACCAACTTAAATGAAGACACTTGTTAGTCAGCAATCCCTAATCCAAATAGTGCATGCAAAGCAGTATATGTGGCTTTAAATGTCCACTTTTAAATGATACCGCATTGAGAATACCACAGGAGACTGTAATGAGATAAAACTACAAATCAACTTGTTTGGTATGCAAACTAAAGAGTCAAAGGCCGCGTTCAGTGTCTATGCAAACACAAGCCATGCATAGACACTTGATTCATCGTTAAGTTCACGGTTAATACCAAGCTTTGAATAGCAGGAGAAAAAAAAAAACTTACGTTTTTCAGTCTCCTGCACGTCTCTTCACGTCTAAGCAGAAGGAGAGAAGGAGGTTAAATGCAATGAGTGTTCACTGTCAGACACACAGATCAGTTCCAGCTTACACTAACAGTACCGGGAACTAAATCCCCCCCATACCCTCCAATAAAATTAAGTCACTGCTATAAATGGACCTCAACTACATACCGCATAAGCTTTACTGTAAATCACTAATCACGTACACTGATTTTTATTTACAATAACCATTATGCACAATGAAGACAACCAGCAAGTGTTCAAAAGAACCCGTAACCTATCTGACAGTGGAACATACTTGTTCCCACAGCGTGCTGACACTGGACATGTGAGCCATCTGTTTGTCACTATGGACTAGCAAACATGCATTTGCAGAGGAATGCATCTAAACACCCGACGCTCATTACACAGTGTAGCATTATCTTAAAAATAAGTCAGACGAGCTATAAGAAACAGCACTTGATCTGAGGTTATTAAGTGAAAGTGTTTATGTTATTTCATTTAAGCCCTAAAACAACATGACCGCGAGAAAGCATGCAAGTTAAAAATAGCAGTCAGATCCACTATAGCTTCACCATAGCATTTGGTTTGAAGGGACAGTCATTTGGGGCTAAATTTAGAGGTCGCCGTGCCTCATCTCCACCCTCTCCCCTCCACAAGACCAATAGTGGGGACATGAAGCTCTCAGCAGGGTGGACGACAAGATTTATTGTTCAGGGCTAGGGTCGGGACCTTAAAAGAATTAGGCTGTGTGATGAAATACACAGCTCAAGAGTTGGGAATTAAATTAGTTATAGGAAATACCTTGAAAATACCTTTTTGTATTGATAAGGATAGTAGAGAAATTGGGTGCCAGGGCCTCATGACTAAACAGTATTTAAATCAATAAATTATTGTTAGTAAATTATAATAATCTAATCTAAATACAAATTCAAATGATGAAAAAATACCATCAAGATGTGAACTAAAACCATATTTCTCCCATATAGAAGGCATTAGAGTCAAAATGGATGAGAAGCACTGTGGTAGAGAGAGGACAGTTTGGTAGTTTTGAACCCCTTCTCTTCAACCACCTGTCATACAAAGACCATTTTCACATTTCAATAAGCTCAATCGCAATTTAATCAAAAGTGAAATAAGCTATGAACATCTCATGTTGGCTGTAAAGTTTATGCTCCATGTATATTTTATCAAGCTCTGATCTTAAAGAGATATATCACCCAAAAATGAAAATAAGTCATTTACTCAGCCTCGTGTCATTCCAAAACCATAAGGCTTTAGTTAATCTTCAAAATTTTGTATTCACATAAAACTGCACATAAAGCGCATGACATTTGGTAAACTCACACATGCATTTTTGAGCTTCCGTGTTTACCAAATGTGATGTGTTCGGTGTGCCACTCATTGTTTAGATGTAACTAAATAAAACCTTTACAATCATATCCATCTCTTCACAAGACTCATTTTACGATACCTTTATGACCTTTTTGGATCTTTTAAGTTTCAATGGAAGAACAGAAACCTCTCAGGTTTCATTAAAAGTATCTTAATTTGTGATTAAAGTGACTAGTCTTTGAAACGACAGTAATTGAATAAATGACAGAATTCCATTTTTGGGTGAACTAACCATTTATTAGTGACAGATCATCCGTCAAAACATCATGTCTGACTGTTCCGCCATTTAGATGTCATCATTCAAAATACATTTTCATGAAGCAGCTTGACTAAAACATAGGTCTTGGTTGGTCAGGTATTATTGTTTGAGTTTGATGTTGGACAGATAATGTGTGACAGGACTCATCCAGCCTTTCATTTGGTATGGAAATGTAATCGGACTGCAAACACTATTCAAATGAACCCTCTTCCTGCAATCACATGGAAGACTTACTTCTTTCTTTATACTCACACAAACCCCAAAGGCGGTAATAAAGTTTAAATACAGATAGGTTTGCATCAGATATTTAAGGATAATTTAATTAGGCAAATATAATGCAAGAGAGACATTAGAAGGCACAGGCAGCAAATCCAGCCATCTCAGTTCATAACAGTTACAGGTCTTACATTGCAATGAAACGCAACAAACAAACCAGAAATAAGAATTTGCAGTTTCACTTCTCTCTGCTCACCTGACAGTCACACGTGTGGACACATCTTGCAGGTCTCCAGGATGGAAGAGCTGTGCTTCATTGAGCCCTAGTTTCTCACAAGCCTTGAGAAACACATTCACGTTATCCTGAAGAGAAACCAGCATTGACTATTGCAGATAGGGTAAACGAAAAGTTAAACGTCATCCTCAAATATTAAGCAGCCAGTAAAAAAAAAAAAAAGTGGAGATGCTACAAGGTAGGGAAGCTTGGAAGATGAAGCTCCGCTGAGAATTGACTAGTACAAGAGATGGACAAGTTGAACAGAAAAGGGGTGGGAACTGAAGGAGACAGTTGTCAGGTGCTGTCCAACACACTCACAGCGTTTATAAATGGAAACCTCAGGTCTCATGGGAAAAATGTCTTGGCATATGCACAATGTTAGACAAGTACTGTATAACTGAATTGTTTGATGAAAAAAAAAATATTACATTGGAGACTAAATGGTTGACTAAATCTTAATTCTATAACTAAATAAATATATTTTTGATGTCATTTAAAATATGCTCACCAAGCCTGCAATAGGGGTGGATAGCCTGTTAAGTCGTTTGATGATGCCTGGCTTCAGTTTGTTGATCAGACTGAAAATAGATGGAATATACAAAATAAATAAATAAATAAATAAATAGTATAAATTTGCTTATTTTAGATAAACCTTGAAATTTTGCAAAATCACCCATTGCCATGTTCAAAGAAATAAAAATCATAGAAAAAGCACTTACTCGCACAGAAGGACTCCATCCTCCAAGGCCACTCGAAAGGTTTTGCTTCCAAAACGCTTGTTGGTAACTTCCTGTTAAGGAAAAAAAACCAAACAGATCCCAGGCACAAATCAGGACTATATACAGGTACAAATCCTGATGATGCATAGATCTTGAAACATGAATCATTTGTTTCGGTCAATAATCGATTTAAAATGCTAAGAATCAAATTAATCACGATTAGAAATGAAAAATTAAAGACTGTAGCATTTTTTTTTAAAATGAAAATAAGAAAGAACCTCACATCATGCAGAAACTTACATCTAACAATGGTAAAAAGGCGCTTTTTGCCCCACTCTCGGAGGTCGCTGTGTAATTCACACCCCGACTAAAGACAGGCACACACTTAACGACTGTAAGGACGATTACGAATGTAATTTGATACTTACGACTGATCATGCCCAAACGCACCGAGTCAGAGACAGTTGTTTAAAATCTGCTCCAGTCATTGGAAACAGTTCAGTCTTAGAATGTTTCAGCTGGTCGTTAAGTTTGTCCCCGGTGTATATGACACATTAGGGGAAGCATTTAAACAATCTTATGAATGCACTTAAATGTAGTATTGAATCGTTAATCGAATCACATCGAATTTGATTGTGAATCGCCTTGAATCGATTCGTTCTAAATTTGCAAAAACCTATGAAGTGAATCGAATCGATTTGCTGTCTACCCAAAAATTCACAGCCATAACACACACACTTCCTAAATCTGTCAATTTAATGCCAACAAATACATAAAAACATTAATATTGTGAAACACATATGAATTGGCCTTTATGCCCATCAAGTCTGCATGTATTTGATAATGACAATAATTTTACATTTTGTTGTATATATATATACACACACTCACCTAAAGGATTATTAGGAACATCATACTAATACTGTGTTTGACCCCCTTTCGCCTTCAGAACTGCCTTAATTCTTGGTGGCATTGATTCAACAAGGTGCTGAAAGCATTCTTTAGAAATGTCGGCCCATATTGATAGGATAGCATCTTGCAGTTGATGGAGATTTGTGGGATGCACATCCAGGGCACGAAGCTCCCGTTCCACCACATCCCAAAGATGCTCTATTGGGTTGAGATCTGGTGACTGTGGGGGCCATTTTAGTACAGTGAACTCATTGTCATGTTCAAGAAACCAATTTGAAATGATTTGAGCTTTGTGACATGGTGCATTATCCTGCTGGAAGTAGCCATCAGAGGATGGGTACATGGTGGCCATAAAGGGATGGACATGGTCAGAAACAATGCTCAGGTAGGCCGTGGCATTTAAACGATGTCCAATTGGTACTAAGGGGCCTAAAGTGTGCCAAGAAAACATCCCCCACACCATTACACCACCAGCCTGCACAGTGGTAACAAGGCATGATGGATCCATGTTCTCATTCTGTTAATGCCAAATTCTGACTCTATGATCTGAATGTCTCAACAGAAATCAAGACTCATCAGACCAGGCAACATTTTTCCAGTCTTCAACTGTCCAATTTTGGTGAGCTCTTGCAAATTGTAGCCTCTTTTTCCTATTTGTAGTGGAGATGAGTGGTACCCGGTGGGGTCTTCTGCTGTTGTAGCCCATCCGCCTCAAGGTTGTGCGTGTTGTGGCTTCACAAATGCTTTGCTGCATACCTCGGTTGTAACGTGGTTATTTCAGTCAAAGTTGCTCTTCTATCAGCTTGAATCAGTCGGCCCATTCTCCTCTGACCTCTAGCATCAAGGCATTTTCGCCCACAGGACTGCCGCATACTGGATGTTTTTCCCTTTTCACACCATTCTTTGTAAACCCTAGAAATGGTTGTGCGTGAAAATCCCAGTAACTGAGCAGATTGTGAAATACTCAGACCGGCCCGTCTGGCACCAACAACCATGCCACGCTCAAAATTGCTTAAATCACCTTTCTTTCCCATTCTGACATTCAGTTTGGAGTTCAGGAGATTGTCTTGACCAGGACCACACCCCTAAATGCATTGAAGCAACTTCCATGTGATTGGTTGATTAGATAATTGCATTAATGAGAAATTGAACAGGTGTTCCTAATAATCCTTTAGGTGAGTGTGTATATATATATCTATATATCTATATATCTATATATCTATATATCTATATATCTATATATCTATATATCTATATATCTATATATATATATATATATATATATATATATATATATATATATTTGGTGCATGTCCGCTGACAGGAAACTACAGGCCCTCTGAAAAACACATCATGCTATTTTCACTCCAACCAAATATATTCCAACCAGAGTATGGTCTTCACTCATCACATGCAACACAATAGTACACCAAATAATTTTACTGCCATTAAGCAAGCAAAACAAACTGTGAGCAAATTCAACAAGAGTCCTATGATTTATAAGAAGAAAAACACCACTATCTCCACTGCGAACCTTCAACATCACGGTCACAAATCAATCCATGCCATCACTGCCATAAAGTTAGGCAGCTCTGTAACCAAAACCACACTTTCATTTCGTGTTGTATCTGTTCTATTCAAATCGGTCTTACCAGCCACACATATAGTAAATGTGCACTCAAACAGGGCCTCAGACCCTCCCACACAGCGCATCATGTTTGGAGACTGAGGTGCCCAAGCAAGCAGGCTCCTGACTGTACAAGTAATGTGGAGGAGTGGGCATTTGGCACGCAGAATGTTGCAAACAGCTCAGGGGTCCTTTGTGTTCAGAATCAGATTGAGATGCACTGAAGCATCCATGCTTGCCCTGGTGCCTGCCCAATTCTGCATCCTGATCATCAGCGTGTTTGGACACATGGAATGTACTCCATCAATAGCTGCTTGTGTAAGGTCTACATCAAAAGAGATCTGAGAGAGCCAAAGCAGAACCTGCAAGATCTAACAACCACTCACAATTCCAGTATTCTATCCCAGTTTATACATTTGCAAATATATTTAATAATGTAGAGAAGTATTAGTTTCCTAGATTTACGTTTGAATCGCATGCAACAAAATGCAAGCATAAAAAAGCACCAGCATTCTAGATGGCAGAGGAGCGGAGCTGCAGGTCTTCAGGAAATGGTGGTTAGATCTCAGAGGTGAGACTTCAATGCAGGCTGTTGAAAACAAGAACACATTCCCCATGCAAAGCTAAACACTAACAAAAAAGTACCAATGCACTACCATGTTTTCTGGACATACACTATACCATTCAAAAGTTTGTCACTGGTCAGTAAGAATTTTTTTTTTTAAAGTATTTACAACTTTTATTTAGTAAGAATGCATTCAATTGATTACTAGTGACAGTAAAGACTTTTTACATTGCAACAAAAATATATATATTTTAAATAAAACTCTTTGAACGTTCTATTCATAAAGCTATCCTGAAAAAAGTATCACTGTTTCCATAAAAATTAAGTAGCAAAACTTTAATATTTGTAACAATAAGAAACGTTTCTTGAGCATCAAATCAGATTTCTAAAGGATCATGTGACACTGAAGTAATGATGTTGCAAATTCAGCTGTGCCATCACAGGAATATTTTATAGTAGTATTATATTTTATACACATACATTTTATATATATATATATATATATATATATATATATACACTCACCGGCCACTTTATTAGGTACCCCATGCTAGTAACGGGTTGGACCCCCTTTTGCCTTCAGAACTGCCTCAATTCTTCGTGGCATAGATTCAACAAGGTGCTGGAAGCATTCCTCAGGGAGTTTGGTCCATATTGACATGATGGCATCACACAGTTGCCGCAGATTTGTCGGCTGCACATCCATGATGCGAATCTCCCTTTCCACCACATCCCAAAGATGCTCTATTGGGTTGAGATCTGGTGACTGTGGAGGCCATTTTAGTACAGTGAACTCATTGTCATGTTCAAGAAACCAATTTGAAATGATTAGAGCTTTGTGACATGGTGGAAGTAGCCATCAGAGGATGGGTACATGGTGGCCATAAAGGGATGGACATGGTCAGAAACAATGCTCAGGTAGGCCGTGGCATTTAAACGATGCCCAATTGGCACTAAGGGGCCTAAAGTGTGCCAGGAAAACATCCCCCACACCATTACACCACCACCACCAGCCTGCACAGTGGTAACAAGGCATGATGGTTCCATGTTCTCATTCTGTTTACGCCAAATTCTGACTCTAACATCTGAATGTCTCAACAGAAATCGAGACTCATCAGACCAGGCAACATTTTTCCAGTCTTCAACTGTTCAATTTTGGTGAGCTCTTGCAAATTGTAGCCTCTTTTTCCTATTTGTAGTGGAGATGAGTGGTACCCGGTGGGGTCTTCTGCTGTTGTAGCCCATCCGCCTCAAGGTTGTGCGTGTTGTGGCTTCACAAATGCTTTGCTGCATACCTCGGTTGTAACGAGTGGTTATTTCAGTCACTGTTGCCCTTCTATCAGCTCGAACCAGTCTGGCCATTCTCCTCTGACCTCTGGCATCAACAAGGCATTTCCGCCCACAGAACTGCCGCTCACTGGATGTTTTTTCTTTTTCGGACCATTCTCTGTAAACCCTAGAGATGGTTGTGCGTGAAAATCCCAGTAGATTAGCAGTTTCTGAAATACTCAGACCAGCCCTTCTGGCACCAACAATCATGCCACGTTCAAAGTCACTCAAATCAACTTTCTTCCCCATACTGATGCTTGGTTTGAACTGCAGGAGATTGTCTTGACCATGTCTACATGCCTAAATGCACTGAGTTGCCGCCATGTGATTGGCTGCTTAGAAATTAAGTGTTAACGAGCAGTTGGACAGGTGTACCTAATAAAGTGGCCGGTGAGTGTATATATATATATATATATATATATATATATATATATATATATATATATATATATATATATATATATATATATATAGAGAGAGAGAGAGAGAGAGAGAGAGAGAGAGAGAGAGAGAGAGAGAGAGAGAGAGAGAGAGAGAGAGAGAGAGAGAGAGAGAGAGAGAGAGAGAGAGAGAGAGAGAGAGAGAGAGAGAGAGAGAGAGAGAGAGAGAGAGAGAGAGAGTATGTGTATATGTAACACACAGTTATATTAAATTGTAATATTACTGGTTTAAAGTATTTTTATCAAATAAATGCAGCCTTGGTAAACAAGGGATTGCAATCAAAAATATTAAAAAATAATAATTCCAATCCCAAACTTTTGAACGATAGTGTACGTATACAATTGGAAAAAACGATTTCTTTAAAGTTTCATATAAATACCATAGTACTTAAATGTATTTTATAGAACTAAATAAATACTATACCATCAAGCATCTGATACAATCACTGTTCTGTGCTAACTGTGATGGTACTTTATTATAAGGGGACCATGGTAAACATTTTATTGCTCAAAGTAATATCTTGCTGTGAACTAATAAAACCACCATGATGAAAAACAAACAAAGCATTACATCATTATTCAAAACAATCAATAGTTGAATAAAAGAAGACATATGGTATCTAGGTTTTTATGGAGCTGATGGCACTTGTCTACCTACTTTGCAAATGGTTCAGAACTGATCAAGTAAGACAACCACATATGGTAAAAGGCCATCGAAAGCTGCTTTGAAAACATCATGATGAATGTTATCTTGTCTAGTTTCCATTTAATTGGACCTCCTAAATAACGTTCAGGAAATAAAGCACACACACGTTCTTTGCATTCTGAAAAAATTCTTGCGTAATATAAACTAAGGGGTAAAGCTTCATTAATATCTGTCAGGTAAAATTGACTAATTGTTTACACATTAATAGTACTGGGGTTTCTGGGTGCCCATAAAACATGGTCAATCTTCTCAACAGAACATGAGCGTGAAAAGACCTACAGCCAGCAGTGCATTAGATGATGTCATTACCTCGAGCCATCTTTGTGCCTCCTGGAACGCGAGCTCACAGCTGACTGCAGACTGCTGACGCCACTCCATCCCCGCTCCAAATCACACCTGTGTGCATTTCACAATCAAAACTCATTTCAACACATTCACATCCAGATTATATGCAAGGACACAAAAATATTCATCCATACATTTATACCAATATTTACATTTATAATATTTAATCTTTATATACGTGTATATAAATAATAATAAAAAAAGATAAGCAAGTGTCAAGTTATTTCTATTTTCTTACAACACACATTGTTTCTGAAAAAAGCAGCAACATTAAAGATAGTTCAGGTTGATTTTAACAAATTAAGTGATTTTAAATGCTAAATATATATAATCAAAAGAAAAATAGCTGACATTCAACACTGCTTTTGAGTTTCAGTGTTGGAAGCATATAAAGCTATAGCTTAATATTAACTGTAAACATGTAAAACGGTTATTTATCACACAATCAATTTTGGTACAAATGGTGTAGGACAATTATAACTGAAATCACATTAGCAGTTTTGCAATATAATATAGATCTTCAAAAAATCTATTAACTTTTTAATATTACCCCTACAATTTAATTTCAACAGTCTAACTAGTATTGAAGTAGTTTTTAAATAACATTTAGTGTAAAAAAATAAAATAATAATTACCAGCGTCTAATCTAATAATCATTTGCTATTTAGGTCTACCAAAGGACAAATACACCAGAGAAAAGTAACGTCCACTGGAATGACTCTGAACAGGTTAAAATCAACTTCCATCACCATCTTCCAGGTTAGCAACCCCAAAATATGGTATGACTCATAATAGCACTGTGCACCTGTGGCACCCTGCAAGAGTCCCCATCCCAAACTTACCAGCAAGCCCCTGTTTTAATTATGTTTTCTGATTTCCTGAAACTACTCTTAAATTTCACTTCCCAGATGTCGACTCGAAAGCGCAAGGTGTTTTCCCCGCTACCCGAGCGCGTGCCTCCAACACAACTCTTTTAATCTGTTGCAAACATTCCGCTACAAATTGACACCTTGAACGCCAAGCAGCTCTCCTACCACCGAACTTGCTTGTTGCAAGCAGGAACAGAAATGTCGCCGTTCAGTGAATACAGGGGCGATAAGGGCACAGGACAGCTGCGTGTTTGCAGAGGCAAATGATTATGATGAGTTGTTTAAATATATGCCACGCCCCCTTCTGCCTCTTGATAAGAAGTGATGACATGGGTTCGCGAGCTGTGTCAACAACGACCAGCAGATGGCGACGAATAATCACTTCAACAACGTTGTCATGCTGTTGCACGCTATGAGGGCCACTTGAATTTTAACATTTTTATATTAAAAATAGCCCTTAATACTGTATGTTTTTATGCTAACACAGTCAATTAAATTATTTTAAGGCTCAAATATATATATATTTTTAAATAAAATTGACTGATGAACAAACATGACTTCACGCCCTCAGCTAATAAATATGTTTTGATAAACTTTACTATGGAAATCATAGCTTTTTACCATTTTAGATTCTATTTGGATATGAACACTGGAGCTGATTTATGTTTGGGGAACATTAGTCTAGCTAATCTATGGCCAGAGAAGGCATTAAAGTCACCATGAAACTGAAGTATCTTTTCTCCTTGTACAGTATATCCAAGTAAACGAACGGCTTCTCAAACAAAATAAAATGTAGGGCAGGACTTGACGTTTTCCAAGGGGAATTGAAATTTGCTATGCTACAGTAGGCTTGTTTGAGTTTAGCAAAATCTGCGCAGAACCGATCACCGGTGATCGGTGCATGCGGTTAGAAGTGTCCAAGTCCGAGTGTGGTCCGCCTTGCTCTGATGTCATGCTGACGTATGTCAAAAAAACTCTCGCGATGCCAAGGCGGACTTGTCGGATTCTGCAGTCGGCCGCAGTTGCTCTCCACCGACTGTGCGGCTCTCCACTTTTTATGTGTATATAAATTATGTGTGAATATTCCCAAACTGTCTGACGGTGCGATCTGGGTTATTTGATTCATTGTTGTTGTCATATTTATATATATATATATATATATATATATATATATATATATATATATATATATATATATATATATATATATATATATATATATAAAACATGTCTGTAATTAAAGTAAAAAATGATTGATAAACACGTATTTCGAATAGAAATAAATAACAGTACTTTGGGTGTCTTGTTCATTATATTTATTTTCATATAAAAGCAACAGAACTTAAATTACATCCAGTTCATCATCAACATGGCGCATGAGCGTGAATCCTGCAATATCCGCCTTTGATCTCGTGTCTGATCCTGTACAAGACGCATGTACCCTACTGTCCGTCTTGCCTGCACTTTTTTCACTCCTCCCCTCACTGCAGCCGCCTACTCTCGCATAGCCTACATTTCAGGCGAGGCGCATCTCAAACAAGCCTATAATGTCATGTGAGTGACAGTTTGTCCCGCCCTCGCACCAGTGAACACGTCATCATCAGAGGAAGGAGAAGTTATTTTAAATAAAGATAATCAAGAAAGGGCAAATTATTTAAAAAAAATAATAATTATGAGCACGGATAAATCATTTATAATAAATACGGCAAAATTCCATTTAAAACATGTGTCTATTTTGATTTCCTGGTGACTTTAACATGTATGTTATAGGTCTGGATATGTGGTCTGCACTGACAAGTGCTTTAAACCCTCTGGTGCTCTATGTGTGGTGGTCAAAAATGGCTGAATGTTTTTATTTCAAAGAAAGCAATGTACTATATTTTAATTTTAAAAAATGATTTAATATTTTGTATTTTTAGCGGATTTATGGTACTAAATTATATTTTTATGCAGTAGTTATAAAAAACCATGTATTCACTTTTTGAGCATGGACCTGAAAATGACATTTCCAACTTAAACTGTCATAAATCTTTTTGCTTTGAATGCTTTGGAGCACAGACTTAAGTTTGGTCTCTTTTTAAAGACAACGCCTGGCAGATTATTGCTAAAGTGAAAAAAGTTTAAAAAAGTGAACTTTCAAAAAAGTTGTAGAATTTAACATTTATTGTTATGAAAAATATAAAATACTACTTTAAATATTTATGTGAGATGTATATTTTCCAAAACACGTTTTACTCTAAAACTGCAAGAAAATCAAAGGCATAAATCTAAACAAGTAGTGTTCCAAATTTGAGCTTGATGTCTCAGAAAAAAAAGGCTTTCAGTAATTTTTTTTTTTTTTTTTTTTTTTTGCTCAGTATACGATAAAATTAGCAGTACCACTAGATGAAAATTGTTTCCCATTAATTTTCAATGCAGTCATTTTTGGAGTGTGTGTGGGGGGACATTTAATATTCAACTATTTTAATAATCTGCCTTACTTAAGGTGGACGATGACGCAATTTTCTTCTAGAAACAAACTTTGTTGTATTATTTTCATGTTATCACTGTGAAGCTGCTTTGATACAATCTGAATTGTAAAAAGCGCTATATAAATAAAGGTGACATGACTTGACTTGACTTGTGTGAGTGTGTGTGTGTGTGTGTGTGTGTGTGTGTGTGTGTGTGTGTGTGTGTGTGTGTGTGTGTGTGTGTGTGTGTGTGTGTGTGTGTGTGTGTGTGTGTGTGTGTGTGTGTGTGTGTGTGTGTGTGTGTGTGTGTGTGTGTGTGTGTGTGTGTGTGTGTGCGTGTGTGTGTGTGTGTGTGTGTGTGTGTGTGTGTTCGCATAGCAAGTGCCAAAACCTTTACCAAGTTTCGTACCATTACGAGAAAAAAATTTCAGTCAAAAATGACTGAAAAGCACCAGGGGGTTAACTCACAGATGAGGTATGAATATCATATACAATTGCAATATAGATGATTGTAATATAATTATTATTATTTGAAAACAGTGTCTAAGGATTATTCAAGACATGATAAACCAGAAGTAGGGTGAGATGCAAGACTGAGAGGTGCTTTCAACAGCTGGAACTAAAACAGGAAGTGCTTCATCCAGCGACAGGAAGTGTTAACCAAAGCTGGAGCAATGTACAAGCCTGTCTGCCCACTGGTTTCCTGTGTGACTAGTCTGCTGTCAGACACACAACACTTTATCACACTATTGTTGTCATCTTGAACCTAAAGACAGCAGTATAGGGTTTAAAGCATGCTGGCAGCTCTGTTGATCTATAAGCTTTGAGGTATTTATTGCAATGATAAAAAATAAGTGGGCTAATGAAATCTTAAATGCACTTTTGTGTGTGCTGTACTGTAGCCTACATATATAAAATGTTCTATAATAAGGGAAGATATCTAATTGTCAAAAATGATCTAACTTGACCTATTGTTAATTATTTCCATTGACATGTTCCACAACTCATGCTCTTGCAAGTTTCTTCTGCGTGAAAGGCTAAATTAATCTATGAAGGTATAGATAAGGTCAGTTAGCATTTTTTTATGTTTATTAAAGGGATCTATAGCTATAGAGCAAAAAAAAAATATTTCTATATATCTATACCTAGACTTTCTGACTTGCAAAGTGAACTGAAATGCGCATCCGATTGACACTTTATAATCCCATGATGCCACGGGAAAGGAGTCTCATTTTTTTTTAAATTGCATGAACAGCCACATGATGAAAGATAATATTTTGAGAATGTCTTCCCATTACTTCTAACAGTGAAAGCACTATGTGAAGACACCTGACAGAGGCCTATATAGTCTGATTGGTAATGTATGGAACATGGACATATTTAGACTAAAAGTTGAATAAAAGTGGTATAAAATCAGAGGATTTCTCAGTGGGTACACCTATCTGGTATTTAAAGTTAGTTTAAGCACAGCCAACAGAGCAGAGTTTAAGTAAACATGCTAGAAGTTCTAGAATTTTTAGCAAGCAAAAGTAGATCTAGTAATCTTTTGCACATCCATCGGCCCAGAATTCTATTCCATTCTGATCTTGAAAAATGTGTGTTTTTGATTGTAATTCTTGGTTTCTGAAGCCACTGGATGGAATGAACAATTAAAAACATACAAAGTAAATGTGTTTACAGTTTGGAGTGGCCATGAGCTTGACCACATATATATTAGAGGTGATATGTTGTTTCTTTTGTTCAAACTCTTACTTACTGGATATATGTTGGATACACATTATGACAAAGTGTACCAGAAATGAATAGATAAATGAATGTTGGTTTGGCAAGGAACATTTGCTAGAAAGGCATTTTCTTTCAGTCAACAATGAAATTTGGTTCTAAAACAAACATCTAACCAGAGCCAGCGCAGCAATTCACAATGGTTGCTGAGAGGAGAAGTTTTTCTCTTATCATCTTATCTTTTTCTTATCATCTTTAAGGGATCGTTTTTATTGTTTTCAGCTATAATGGATTGAAACCTTTCTGAAAGTCTGAAATATCATCCTCTTGTAGCAATATTCTTTTTTTGAACAATGATAGGTTTTTTTTCTGTAGTCCCCCCTCTGCAATGCCTCATTGAGAGTTGCTGTAGAGCCTCTGGGTGTGCGTGTATATATATATATATATATATATATATATATATAGTGTGCTTCTTTTGTCCCTGCCCACTGACTGGTGGTCTATTTCACCTGGAGCTGCACAGCTGGAACAGCAGTACAGTTCCCTGAACACTGTAGCTTTGTCCTGATCTGCCATTGCCCAGCAGACACATGAGAAGAGGGATGGTGGGCGTCCAGATGTGTTAGTCCAGCCAAGGGCACATTTAACTCCTGTTCACACACATCTTAAACCACTACCATCCATACCCACACCCATTACAAGGTTCAGCAAATATTTGATGACAAAGTCAAACTGTTTGAATCAGAACTAACAAAAATGGTTACATCATCCTTTTTTGCACTTTAATAACGTACAACAATTTCTTGAATAGATTTAAATGTAACAGAATAAGCGGTGCTTTTGTGTTCAGATGATGTGGGATAGAAGGTTGCTATAATGTTCTTATGTTCTGCTATATGATGTTCAGTTCATGGTCTATGTCAGTGGTACTGAACCAGGGGACCGGAGCCCACTAGGAGGCCTCAACAAACTGCAAGAGGGTGTCAAGATGACTTAAATGAAAGGTTAAAATAAGATAAAACAAGTATTAAATTAAGTCAAAATGACTAAAAACTAGATATTTCTTATTTTACTCACCCCTTCAAGATTTTT